CTTCTGAATTCTGCCTGGCCCAGTCTCCCTTGAAGTCCTGCACCAACTTTTCAGCACACTCTGCTTTCTAAGAGAGTATTGTTATGCTTGCCTTGTCTCTGCCCCTGATCCAGAAAGTTCTCCAGGAAACAGATCAGTCTGGGCGTGGGGCATGTTCCCTGGGCCCCCAGCATATTGTTGATGAACATGACTTGCTATGAAAGGGGTATATTGCTTCCAGGCACATGCTAGACAGCTTACATCGATCATCTTGCCCAGAACTGCTTAGGTAGTAAGTGATTGAGGAGGAATTCAAGCCTTTTGGTCTGCAGGTTCCTACACTGCAAATGGGTGAGAGGGGTTCAGGTACTGACTTGTTTAGGTAAATGAACAGCACTTTTTGAGCAGTTATTCCCAAGCAAAATGTGTGTGTAATAGGGAATCATTTTTAGGAAGCATTTTGAAAGCATTTTAAAAAGCTTTTGGAAAAAAAAAGAAGTCGACGGGAACAACCTAACTTGGGGAATAAAAACCTGAGAATTTGGTTTTCCTCTGTTGGCCCTTTTTCCCCTCATCATATTCAGTTTACACATGCAGGAAAAAGAACACTTGGAGGTGGGAAAATGGTGATGCTACAAAGTGTGAACAACTAATAAAATAAAAATTTAAGAGAGTGTGAACAACTTGCCAGACATGATGGCACATATTTGTAATCCTTGATAACAGAGGCTGAGGCAGGAGGACAGCAAATTCTAAGCTAGTCTAGGCAACTTAATGAGGCTCTGTCACAAAAAAAAGAAAGAAAGAAAAGAAAAAAGAATGTGTATATATATTTATATAATATAAAAAGAATATATGTAAGTATATATATATATATGTATATATACACAGTCATATATGGATATGACTATATAAAAGAGGCTTTGGTAAAATGGGGTTATCAGTGATTTCTAATGCCACACTGACACTTCTATGTGGCTTAATGACGTGGGCCTGGAGGTCACCCAGTACATGTCTGCTCCATGTCATCTGGCCCTGGCCACATCTCCTTCTATGAGCAGGGCAGTTGTCACTCTATTTCATGATGTGTTTGTTCAAGATGCTATCAAAAAATACCACAGCTGGGGAGCTTAAAGATCAGACAATCAGTTTTCACCATTCTGGAAACTCAAAGTTCCAGACCAAGGAATGACAGAGTGAGTCTCTGAATGACAGGTAAGGACTCTCTTTCTGGCTCATAGATAATACCTTCTCCCTGTGTCTTCACATCACAGGGCAGGGAAGGGGTGGGAGGGTCATAAGTTTCTCTTTATAAGAATGCTAGTCCTGCAGTCGGCACCATGCACAGGCTGACTAGGGCAGAGCCAGACGCCAGTCCTCTCCTTTGAGTCTGTGCCATTCACGGACTTCAAGGGAGGAGAGCATGAAGTCAACAAGAAGCTAAAACCTCCTGTGTGTCGGCACCATGCACGGGCTGACTGGGGGAGGGCCACATGCCAGCCCACTGTGGCACACAAGCAGGTAGACCAAAAAAACCAACATCCCCCACCCCCACCTCTGTCCCCCACAGGCGAGCAGCCGATCTGGAGAAGCACAGGCTGTGTGATAGCTATGAGGTAAAATACAACTGAATGCTAGCAGTGTTCAGTGTTTCACTGACTTTTCAGGCTTAAAGCCAGTAGTCTGATATCTATTCGGAGGATAACATGCAATGTAGCATCTATGGGGGAATCTCCTTCTGAAGGTGGTGGCCACTGTTAATTCCCTACTATCTTGTTTTGAAGTCCTATATCATTCTCATTGTTTTGTTTGGTTGGGTTTATGTGGTTTGATTTTGTTGTATCTGATGGCATGGGCAGCCACTTTGGATTTACTATTATTTTGTTTTGAAGTCCTATACTGCATTCATTGTTTTGTTTTTATTGATTCTGTTCTGTTTCTGTTTTGCTTGATTTTGCTATGTCTGAAGGGATGGGCAGCTATTCTGAAGACAAGAGGCATTATGATAGCCACTGTTGATTTCCTATTACCTTGTTTTGAAATCCTGAGTCACTTACAGTGTCATGTTCTGATGGTTTTATTCTGCTTTCTTTTGCTTAGTTTTATTCTCTCTAAAATAAAAATTTTTTAAAAGAACACTAGTCCTATTGGCTGAGAGCCCTACACTGTGATCTCCTTTAAGTTCACCTTAGGGCCCTACTTCTAGATAAAGTCCATAGTGAGCATTAGGGCTTCAACACACAGACCTCAATGGGACACGATTCAGTTCTTGGCAAAATCCAGATCTCGTAAGCCCAGCCCAGTCTCCTTCCTCAGGGTCCTCTTGTACCTGCCTGCTCTCCTACGGCCCAGCCTTGAGGACATGAATTCAATCTGCCTGTCCAGGGACTTGCACACCGAGTAGGGACCAGCTTCTGTGCTTCAGGACCCTCTCTCTTCCCCTGCCCTTGTTCATGCTAATTCCTCCTGGCTCTGAGTCCTGGCACTATTGCTTATAGAGGGGGAACTGACCATGTTGATAGAAAAGAATAAAATAGAATTACAGGGTCTAGTTTACTAGACAAACAAGCACCATAAGAGATGGGTTATGACTGCAAAAATGAGAACACTGTTTCAAAGTGCAGTGTCCAGGTTTGCTAAACCCATGCCAAGGAGTTCTGTGTTTAGTTCTGGGTCTTACATTCTACAACCACTTAGATTTACCATTTGGCTGGGGAGTGGAGGTAACACTTTATGGATAATGATGAAAGGAACTGTGAGCATGGTGGAGGGAACACCACCTCTCTAAAGGCTTCCGGAGGTTCATAGGAGGAGCTTCCTGGAGAGAGCAGGAGAGATGATCCCCACGGCCTTGGCATGGAGGAAGAAAGCCTTAGCAAAGCAGCCTTCTCTTAGTGAATGGAGTGAATGGTGGTTATTGTCCCATCCCCGGGCCGCTTCAAGCAGAGACAGAGACTCTTTCCTGCTTTCTGCCACATGTCAGCTTCTGGCTCATATCTCAGTCCTCCACCCCTAGTGAGCCAGAGTCGAGTCTTCATATGATCTGCAGCATGTGGAGATTTCATTACAAAGATACGATCTGCCTGCTTATTTCACATCATCAGCCCATTACTCAGGGACTCAGGATAACCAGGAGCCTTGTGGAGTACATCAGAATTTGAGGTAGCCAGTTATAAATGATCTAAAACCCAAAGGAGTCCCCGCTTAGCCAATTGGCCTGCTATACACATCAGTCCTATTTTGAAGATTCTTATACCCTTAAATACAGACTGTCATCTCTGGCTTAAACTTCAAAAACAATCATATACCCTTCGGACTTATAACATACACTGGAGAAATCATTAGCTCAGATGCTGAGTGCCATCTAAAAGTGCTGATACATCTCACTTGAATCAAACCAAACCAGCAAATATTAACCAAGCCTGTGTAAAGCAAACCAAGATCTGGTCCTTGCTATCTCGGTACCAACAAGAGAGTCCAGGGAAAAGGACAGGTGTGTGAACAGCTTGATGACTATGTCACCCTTTTTAGCACCTTCCCAGGTCATTGCAATTATTTCTTTACAATCGCAATAGCCCCACAAAATGTCCATTCCCCATGGACAGACTAGCTTATTGGTGAAGACACAGTGTTCATGCTTCCCCAACCCCAGTCTACCTCCCACTTGACCCTGTGTCAGCTGTAATTTTAGACAAGTTGTTTTGCTGTGCTGTACTGCTCTCTTACTTCTCTATAGATTTCCTTCTCTGAAAATGGGATTAATAATAGTACAGATTATTATGAAATTAAGTTCACTCACACATGTAAAGCACTTCACAGTGTGGCCTAAAATGTACATGCATATTAATATTTGTTGCTGTTAATACTACTACTGCCAGTAATATAGTGGGGTTACTCGTACATAGATACTCATTTCTGAAGGTAAATGTGTAAGGCAGAAGCTGTACATAATCAATATGAAACTTCAAAGCTCCATCTTTCTTGACCGTGGGAGCATGTGTCACTGGCTGGCTTCCTCTCACACAGGTTGGCCAACTTCAGTTAATAACAACTGATTTTTATGAGTGCTTGTTAGGACAGCATGCACTGGTTGAGTCTTTCACATGCATTAACCCATTTCATCTAATTTCATATCAATCCCATAAAGTAAGTACTGAGCCTTCCTCCAATGTAAAACCTAGGAATCAGAGGCACAGGAAGGTTAATCATTTGTCCAAATACTGCAGGGACTTGAATCTAGGCAGTCATCCAGCCAGGTTCCAGAATATTCTCAACCACTGGGGTCAGTCGTCTCTTCTCAGAGAAACAGGATGTGACTGTCCTAATTCCAGTATGCCCTACCATATGTACAAATCCTGGAGTATGGGGGGCATTTGGTAACAGTTTCTGAAATAAGCAGCCTCCTCAGGTTGCTAGTTGTAGGTACCCCTCCCTTGGCACAGCACCCAGGCTCCACACCCTCACAGGCTGGAGAGGAGCCATCAGGAAGTATCCCCATTTCGAGAGCTGCTTTCCTGCTCTCACTGCCAACTCCCAGCCCATGTCTCCAGCCCCTGTCCTCGAGGAGCCAGCTCATCTCCAGCTCACACAGTTCCCCAACCAGTCTTCAACAGGTGCAGCTGTCATCTGGTGTCATTTTGGAGCCCTCGCGTTGCCGTCTTCTAGTTGTTGAGACCCAGGAGTGAAAAATGTAAGAAAACGGACTTACAACCTGCTTCAGCGCAGCTTGGAGAGACTCCAGCAAAGCAGGCCTGCTCTAATAGGGGTGGGGCTGCAGAGACGTATTCCTAGAGATCCCTGAATTCTCTCCAGGAATTGTAAATGACATGTTGTTGTTTCAGTGATGATATGATTAGATACAGTATTTGTTTTATGAGATCCTGGATGCAAATCCTAATATTATGGAAGGCAATGTGTATCCTTGCAACTAGGGTGAGATGAGAAGCTGAATGAGACGAAGATTTTCCCTGTTCTTCCCCATCTTCCCCACCCCAGCCACTCAGGAACTGGCTCTACTTTACCTTTGGTGCACAGCTTCCGGAGGGAAGTGAGCCCTCAGCTGGGCAGAGGCCACCAGACTGATGCATATGTAATCGTTACAATGATCTGTGTGTTGCCTTCTGGTTGATCCTTTTTCTCCTGGGAATTTGGTGCTGACAAAAACAAAAGTGCGCTAAGTAGCAGTGTATATTTATGTTTGTACAGTTACATTCACAGATTCCGTATTTGCAAATTCACCTAGTTATTAAGATTCATATGTAACCCTAAAATCAATATGCACTTTACAGTCATTTGCAGACAGGGACAGAACAGTGAAAAATCCGAGTCACCCAATGCACACGTTCCCAACTGAGGTCACACAAGGCAATGCTGCTTTCCTGTTTCAGCCACAAACAAGTATACTTCTGTATCTATTCAGGACCACTCTCCACATTTTTTGTGCTCTTTTGCTGGTAATTTCATTGTTTAAAATGGTGCCCAAGAACTGTGCCAAAGTAAGTTCAAGGAGGCTGTGTGATCTGCCTTATGGAGAAAACACAAGAGTTAGATAAGCTTTGTGAAGGCTTGAGTTCTAGTGCTATTGGCCTGAGTTCAATGTTAATGAATCAGCAGTAATAGTAAACAAAGTATCTTTAAACAGAAACACACAGAAGAGATTAAGTTTTACAACTGACCAAAATGTAGCCAGTGGCTGGAACCTAACCTATTTCCCCCAGGAGAAGTGGCTCAATGTTTGCCAATGCAGAGACTTCATAGAAGACAATTATGAGAACGCAGTGCAGACTGCATATACACAGTGTATGTGACAGGAAGGTGACCAAGATGCAGACAGGTTAGAGAATTTGTCCATATGGATCGGGGCACACAGCGCCAGAGTCAGCACCTGAACTGAGGTCTGTCAGAGGCCCAGCTCGACCAGCCACCGCTTCATCTCTGGATTCAAGGTCAATGCGCTACAAAAGGTTGCTGTATATGGAGAACCCACTGCAAAAGATTTTAATCTTTCTTTTGCTGACACTTTTCCCTTTTGGTACTGGGGATCGAACTCATGACCTTGCACTTGCCAGGCAGGTGCTTATGCTGATGAGCTAAACCCCTGGCCAGCTGATGCTATTCTTTATTCTCCTTCACTTTCTTTCCGCTCGTGTGTTCTTTGCTTTTAGGTTTTGTTGTTGGGTGGTTTTTTCGTTTGTGTTTGGTTGTCTGTTTAATCCAAACTGAGGATCAAACCCTGGCCTCTGCAAGTCAGGAAAGTGTTCCACCACTGAGCTAACCCTTGGTTCTGCTTTTGGATTGTCTGAAATCACTTGGCCATTGTATTGAAGGTCTTTTGCAGGAAGAGATTCTGGCTGCCAGGTACAAGGCTTTCTAAGTACCTGGAAAAGAACTGGGCGGTCACTGTGGGAGTCCGTGCAGTAGGGTTCTATGCTGAAGTTCATGCATTAACCAGTGAAAAATCTGCTACACTATTTTTACTAATGGTTCAAACTCCAGAACAGGCTGATGAGCTGGAGAAACATCTGCACCCTCACTCTTCACACCCCTCATAACCTTCACAAATCCGAGATTCTTACCCCACCCCTTTGAAAAGCAGTGGTCCTTTCTAAGGGTTTCCAGACAACCAGTACCATTTGTGGAAGTTTAGAATCAACACATTCCTGATCACAGGGTCCTCATGCTCAGAGCGATGTGTTACTTGATAGGTTTGACAGATCTGGCAGAGAGGAGAAGCAGGAGAGAAAAGGGAGAGAGAGTTACAAGTGTCTGGGAGGTGGCATTTATATTTAGTATTTACTTTCTGCTCAAGGGTTGGTCTGCCAATCAGGATCCTTGACATAAACAATAGACTCCTCTTAGCTCATTTCAGCAGCAAGGGAATTCGTGAAAGAATCTTACATGATGTGAGGGACTCTGGAAGGCAGCCCAATGGTCCTACTTAAAGGTAGCCAACTAGAAAAGTTTCCACATCGTGCAATCAGGTGACACCTTTGAAGATCTCAGAGGCAGCGCACCTGGTCATAGGCCTACAACACTGAGGACTGAGCACTAGACCCTCAGACTCTGAGGTCCCAAAGCTGCACACTCCACTGTGTGAAGGGTCACAGAGAAATTCTGAGCAGTTTCCCTCTTGTTCTACTTCTCAGCTCATCTAGGCTTAGGAATGTCAGATCCATGGGGCTCAGGTCACCTAGTAGGGTGGCTGAAATGTATCAGTTCACACTTTCAGAGGCCAGAAGCCGAAAACCAAGACATCAGCGATGCCCCGCTGCTCTGCAGGCTGTAGAAGAGTGTTGATTCTTTGCTCCTTCAGGCTGCTGGAGGCTGCAAGCATTCAGTGATTTGGGGCACATCACTCTAATCTCCTATGCCATGGTCACATTGCCTTTCTCCTCTCTGTTGAATCTCCCTCTGCCTCTCTCTTAGGAGGACACTGCCATTGGATTTAGGGCTCAACAAAGCACAGTATGATCAATCTCATTGTCTCTTGATCCTAAATATCTGCAAAGGCAGTTTCTCCAAATAAAGTGACATTCACAGGACCTGAGGAACAGGACATAATACATATGTGGTTGGGGAATAAACCATGAAACCTGGCTACAAATTCAAACCTTCTTCTTCTTCTTCTTCAAACACAAGATGCTATAACCCACACAGAATGATGGGATTTCAGCCTTCAGGCTGTGACATCCAAACTTGACATTGCCTTACCCAGCACTGTCAGCTTTCCAAGTATTGTGTTTTTGGTTAAACCTGAGGTCCCGTGATTACCCACTTATTTCTTTTTAAAGGTGAAAACAAAGGTTCCAAATCCCTCTGAAATCATACAACACAGAGTCCAAACTTTGACTACCAGCAGATGTTCCTGATCCCCTCAAATACCTCCTGTGTCCTTCCAGGGCTCAGGAGAGCCCTCGGTGGTCAGAATCTGCTCTGGTGTGCCTTTAGCTAGGATCCTTAAGGCTTTTCCCTAGTTCAAGACAAGGCCTGGTGTCAGGCCTGATGGTCTCCCCCACACAGGGAATAGATCAACTTGCTAACTTGTGCAACCTCAGAGGAATCACTGAACTTCTCTTGTTAGTCTTCTAATCTTTAGCATAGAAGACTGAGCTCAGTATGCTCTGAGGTGACTTTCAGCACAAAAATGATATGATTTGGTAATTCCAACCATCTGAGAATGTTTAATTTGGCCCTTAGCCATCCCAGGATATTTGATAAAATCTGATCACTTGGACCAGCCCCAGGAAAGGAACAGATCAGAGCCTGTGCTGGCGTTGGGAGCCCACCTGATGGGAGAGTGTGTGCATATGTGGTGGGGGCTGGGGGAGGGTACTGGCTGGGAAGACTGGAGACTTACAACTAGAAGGAATTAATTTGGCTCATTTCAAATATAGAAACTGAACCTCAGAGAGGGAAATTATTAGTTCCAGTTCACACAATTAGTTAAAGGCAGAACTGGCATTAGAGTTAGCTTTTCTGAACTCCATCCCAGATTCTTTTTCCTACACCAAAAATGACAAATATACTTCCTCTCCTGTGCTCTGATAAATTAGTAGTGGCTACCTTGAGCACTGTCTTTTAGGAAGCTCCCAGGCCCTTCAGGGCTCAGTGAGAAGAATGCTGTAATTGATTAGCAATGTCTGCCCTGACCACAGGAGGGGAGAGTGGAAGCCTGAGTTTTTCTAATCCAGAGTTGCCAAGCTCATGTGAGGACAAAAATGTCAGTGGGGAAACTTGAAGCTCATTCTCCATAGAGAACTAATCAGTTTAAAAAAAACTACATGACCAGCCCTGCAGAAGTCTCTTGAAAGCACTAACCCAAAATCCAGAGTTGATAACCAATAGATGCTTAAGGAGCTATAGACAGAGTTTGCTAAGTGAGGCTGGGAACAAATAGTATTGCAAACTGTGAAAAGAGCATGGGAAAGCCAGGACATGAGAAGTAGGGGAAATAAGTTCCTAGAGAAGCAGAGCAAGTTAATAATGCACAGGCACACTGTACAGTATGTATCCAGGAGTTTTTGTTGTATTTTTTTATGTCACGCCAATCTTAGTATCAGCCTTGAGACTGAGACAATCAAAATAGCTGATTTTATTTTCATGTGCACAGTTACAAAGTTATATTTAAAACCTATATAAGCATATGGATTGGCCAGTCCCTTCATGTCTAAATTTACTCTAGTTAATAATAATAATAATAATAATAATAATAATAGCTATTTTATTTAATCTTCATTAAAATCTTATGAGATAATTATTATCTTTATTGTTTTACAGATCAGGAAATAGGTTTAGAAGGGTTGGAGAATTTATCCAAAATCACACAATTAATAGGTGGCAGAACTGAAATCTGAATCAAACTGGGATTTCAACACTTCTATCTAATTAAAAGCCAAACCCAACAGAAGCATCTTTGAGAATTCACAGAAACTACTATCTACTAAAAGTGATGGATAGACCTTTCCAGAACTGACGTTGAAATCCCAACCCCTCTCAGTATGAAAGCAAAATCATGCTGTTCTTCTGATTTGCATTTACTAAAATCCAAATCACCAAAACTTTTGCCTCTCTGAGAAAATGAAAGGACCCATCACGTCAGAGAAGCACGCGGGTCCACGCACAGCTGTTTCACACCAACCCCCAAACACCAGCATGAACAGTCCAGGTTAAAGGATATCAGCATGGCCACATGCTCCTCATTTTCCCAAATTAATCAAGAAGTAGGAATTTCTGACAAATGCCATCTGCTGATTTTTCAGAGAGACAAGTTTTGGTGGTGTGACCAGCAGGTGCCTCAGCTTTTTCTAGCATGCAGTACCAAAATAGTCACCATGGCAACCCTCAGAGGGCAGCCTTCCAAAGGGATGCATTGTGAGCACAGCAACTCTAGAACACTTCCAAGCAAGAGGAAAGGGTTTCCAATGAGGGTGAGCAGGAGCTTCTTTCAACATTCGCAGGCTGGACACCAACTCTTGTGCGCTGGGCACAGCCAAGCTCTCTCCCATGCCTTGGAGCTTGAGCTCCCAGGGAAAGGGTAGAAATAAGAATTTGTAGCCACAGCAGGCAGAGCAGGCAACTCCCACATTTCTTGCAGGGGCTCAAGTAGCATGGAGCAAAGAAGAAAGTGGGGTGTGGCTCTCAGTTTGGTCCTGCCCTGCTCCTGGCTAACACGCTGACCTTGGGCAATTGACCAGGACTTGCTGAATCTCAGATCTCTTCTGGGAAGTTGATTCAGTGAATTCATATCATCTATAGAGTGTTGTGAACATGACACAATACCAGGAAATGTTGGGAAGGTACTCAGTGAGCAGCACTGAGTCAAGAGAACAGACATGGGCATCAACAAAGCCAGGCTCTTGACAGGGCTCTGCTGCTGTCCAATCTTAAGAACTTAGATAAGTCATAGAGTCTATCAGGCCTGTGTCTCTCACCTTGCAGGGAAGCGTTGGGACTTGGTGCAGTGTGGTAGGCAGGTTAATGGGGTGCAACATGCACGAACATAGGTGCTATCTCTATGCTCCCATTTTTCTTCACTCTCTTGTTGGGGCTCCTGGGACTTCTCAATCCTAGCTTCCTTCTGAAGTCTGGTATTCCACACTGCCTATGGGATTAGAACCAGCCACCAACACAGGACTAAACATTCAAGGATTTTACAGGGTTGGGGAGTCAGTGAAGAGGTGACCAAAAGAGGAAGGGTCTAAGAGGATCCAGGAGGGATTAGAGGATAGTTGCCACACCATACAGATCTGATCTGGGAGGAGGGAGGAAGGAAGGTGAGGTGGAAGTCATCACAGCTTGCTGTCTAGAAAATATCAGTAAGACCATCAAGAGGGTCCTTAAGCCAAAGTCACCTGTCAGGGAGTTTCCTACATCTCGGAGAAAGGTCTGCCACACTGAGTCTCTGATGGGCTAAGAACAGTTATTAGTGTATGGCCTTGACACAAACAGGAGAACAAGCAACTGAGGCCCTGAGTTAGCTAAGAGCCCTGTCTATGAGGCATTTTCTTGAGACAGGATCTCTCTATGTAGTTCAGGCTGGCCTTGAAATAACTCACAGCAATCCTCCTACCCCAGCCTCCCAATTGCTGGGATTACAGGCATATGCCGCCATGCCCAGCTATAAGGCATCTTCTAAAGATCACCCCACAGATGCAATCCTGACATCTTTCCTGTGGACATTCATTGCAGGTGCTTGTGCTTACAGCCTACCTCTCCACTCAGAAGCTTACACCCCACAATCATGCTCCCCTTACCTCCTAGTATACTATAAGAACACGGCTCAATGATATCTCAGGACCCCAGTTCTGGCACAGATAAGATTTCCTACATCTTGTGTAGACTACATAGCAAAGGCGCACATCCCAGCCTCCATATGGATGCTCACATGTGCAGGTATGTGTCCTTTGAGTCCCTGATAAGAATGGACAGAAGAAGAAAATATGCCTGGAAAAGTATAGATTGATTGTAGATTAGTGGAGGGAATTACTTCCAGAAGTCTGTATCTTCTCATATAATGCCTCTGGTGTGTGTCATCTAGAAAAGCATACTGTGTCCTAGCTGTAAAACTTTCTTTTCTCTTTCTTTCTTTCTTTCTTTCTTTCTTTCTTTCTTTCTTTCTTTTCTTTTCTTTCTTTTTCTTTCTTTCTTTTCTTGTATCAGGAAATAAAATCATGACCTCATGCTTGCCAGACAGGTGCTTTTTGCAGCTGAGCTAAATCTCTAGCCCAAAGATTTCTATGTAATAAACTATAGTACAAATTTTAGAGATTCTGGCCAATTTGGGGCTCTGATTCTTCTAGTATAATCCCACAGGACATCCCTTTTCTTGTCCTTTCCCAAAATCCTTGCTCATATGACAAATTTTTCAGATGCCTGGTAGAAGTTGTTTTGTCCTGGTTGAGAAGTGTTTAAGAGAAATCTACCCCAAGATGATCATTTTTATGAATCGTTTATCTTTGCTTGTTCTGTGGTACACTGAAATACTAGTGCATAAAACTAGACTTTAAATCAAATTACCATTTATCAAGCACACATACTGTGCTTAAACTTCTCCTCAGTGATCATATTTGATCTGAATTTCTATCCAAATGATCACTGTTTGGTCTAACTCCCCTAACTGCAGAGGAGCCCAATTTATGCAGTTAAAGAGGGACCGAGCAGGGGCTGGATGTGGGCTCTGCAGAATCTAAGCGAAGCTCTTCCCGCTGCATTCACATTCTGTTAGGCAGAGAGAATGCGACTACTTGCTTTGCATTAGTTTTGCTGTAACCTGGGAACCTGCAGGACCAGCCAAGCCCAGGGCAGGGCCACTCAGGGCCAGGGCAGGTAGACTTACCTGGAAGGACACCAGCTTGCCTATCGGTGTATCTGCTTTCTTCCCATTTCCTTTCGCAGCCTCCTTCCTCAGCTGACAATGAGAGTCCAACTTCTGCCAGCCCCGACTGCCTTTCAAGCATTCTTTTTTTTCTTTTTAAGAATTTTGAGGAAGAAAACCATCGTGTGCTCAAAAGAGACCTGGTAATCAGAAGTGTCTGGAGATTTTGAGCTGTTAACATAGAGAGGTGGTGAAAGTACTTTCTAGGACATCCTCAGGGACCCACTTGGCAGGTGGAGTCACAGAGCTGGAATCTGAACAGGTTTGCAGAGCTCAGCAGTAGTGGAGAGCGGGTGAGGGCTGCACAGAGGCTCTGATATTCTGAAAAGCACTGTGTGGTTTGTCGAATGCTTTTAGCTCCACATTCTTTCTCAATCCCCACTTCCAACCCTTTTACAGTGGAGGAAACTATTCAGAGGGTAAAGTGACTTACCGGGGCACACAGTTAAGAAGAGGCAGAGGGGAGTCCCTCATCCGGTTCTTCTGACTCCATGCCAGCATCTCGGCCCCATATCTGGGTGGTCCTCGGGCTTGCATCAGGGCCACTGACAGACAGGGCCAGTAGAAAACAGCAGAGGAGCCAGGACACAGACAGGAAGCTGTACTGAAGGTGACCAACCTTCTACGATAACAAATACCACGGGCTGAGTAGTTTCAGTACAGAAAGTTGTTTCTCATGGGTCTGAAAGCTGCAACGTCCTAGATCTTGGTGCCAGCTTGGGCAGGTTGTGGTGAGGGCCCTCTCCGCAGTCTGATGTCTTTTTGGTGTGTCCTCACGTGGAAAGAAAGAGACAGGAAGTGAGTTTTCTTCGGAAGTTGCTAATACAGTCATGAGAGTTACTGAGTCACTTCTCTATTCCCATCTTAAAAAACAAAACAAAACCCCCATCATATCAAGGGTTAGGGTTTCACCCTGTAAATTTTGAAAGAACACATTCCACACAGTCGTAGGAGATGTGCATTCGTTTGGGTAACAGCCAGGCACTGGGCTGGGCTCTGGAGACCCAGCCAAATTCTGACTACCTGAAGACACTCGGGGTGAGACTGGAGGCCAATAAGAAAACCCTAGTACAGAGCAGCAAAGAGGCATTCGAGTAGAGGGACCAATGGGCATTTGGGGTGCACATGCCTCACCCAGATGTGGTACTAGGCTTCTTGAATTATTTTCTACGTATTCAAAAGTAACTAGAGGTTTGGAATAAGAGAGACAGTCCAAATGGTGGTTCTGAGACAGATTCAGGCAGCCTTCCAAGGGGAGGTAGGAAGTCTTCGCGAGTTGAGGGCTTGAAGGGTGGAGGTAAGCATGGAGCCTAAGGAAATGGCGTGGCCCCTGCAGAGGTAAGGCTAGGGACGGGGATGAGGCCCCTGTCCTGTGGCTTTGTGTGGGCTGCATGATACAGGTAAGCAGGAGAGCAGCTGGAAATGTAGACCGGGGTCAGGTCAGGCCCTGGACTGGCATGGATTTTGCCCTGATAGGCAAAAGGGAGCTGTCACCAGCATTTTGAATGAGAGCGTGGCACCACTACACCCTGAATTTTTTCGTTTTACAAATTTTTATTAGTACATGCTTGCAGTACACAACAATTGCATTCATGTGAGGAGCTGATGCATGTACATAACACATCTTAACTTTTTTCTCACTCCTATCTTCCTCCATCTCTTGGATTCCTTCCCATTTGCAAAAATCTATCTCCCTGTTTCCTATTATCTTTCGTTTTGCTCTTTATTATACTTACGTAAGAGAAATCATGTAGTATTTAAGTTTGTATGTCTGATTTATTTCACTTAATATTAGGGTCCTGCATTTTAAAAAGCTGGTTTGGGGGGCATTTGGGACCTTGCTGGGGGAGGTTGCAGGGTAGGAGTCTGTCTTGAATAGCAGGGTATGTGAGGAATGAGGAGGGTGTTTGGGGGGCTGTATGTCAGGGAAACAGAGCTTGCCTGGTATGCACAAGACCCTGGGTTCAATTCATTTAAGAAAAATGAAAGCTGCGCTGGTTTCCAGGGGGCAACTTGGAAAACCTCTCACCGCATCCAGAAGTGAGTGGCTTGCTGCACTGTGGACACAGCCTGGTGGAATCCCAGATGAAACTGAGCAGCGTTTCCAAGACAATCGTGCCCAGATCCCTTTCAGCCCAGCGGTTCCTTCCTTCCTTCCCCGGCTTGGCTAGAGTTTTCTGCCTAGTTCTGTGGAACAATTTCAGAGCATTCTGGCCTGCACCTCCCTGCACCAGAGGATGCTGGCCCTGCCGGGCCGGGGGCTGACCCTTGGCCTGTGGGGGGTACTGTACTAGGCCCAGGCCTGGCCGTGCCCCTGCTGCCTCCTGCTGCCCTGCCCTCCCCTCTGCTGCTGACGCACGTGTCCTATAATAAGCCTCTGTTACTGGGAGCTGGGGCGGCACCGTAGTAAGCTGAAACCGCTACTATATTTACACCCTTTCCACATTTAGACAAAGGCTATTTTTAACAGAAGGTCTATTTGTGGGGGTTGGCCACGTCACACTGTTCACATGCATCTCACCATCCTCAGTCTGTTATTCTGATTTCACACTTGCACCGGGTCTCTCTCTCCTCCTTTCTTCTCTACATCGTTCTTTTTCTTTCTTTCAAAAAAAAAATCTTTTTTCCATTCTCTAATTTCCTTCCTTTCTTTTCTCCAGAGGAAATCAGATGAAGGTTTTTTGGCAGGCTGCATAGCCAGAGTACTTCTGGGAACACCCTGGTCGCTGTCCTCACATAGCCAAGTGGCCAGGGAGGCCAGGCTATAGACCTGTGAGCTCCTGCCAGTGCCTGCGGGGTGCACAATACAGACCCCACCTCTGGTAGCTCTCTGGTGGCCTGTGCTGCCTCCATGTTTAGCCTGGGCAGGACACTGGGGCCATCAGATCCTGGGCTTTGCCCCTGTGCCATTCCAGTTCTGTGTTAATGTATGCATGAGTGGGTTGTATACACCCACTCACACATGCACATGTGTGCACATGTGGTGTGTGTGTGCATGTGTGTACATGTGTTCCCGGGAAGGTAGCTAGCAAGGCCAGAGAAAAAGGAGCCAGTAGGATGACCATTCATGCAGAGCCCTTTAAAAGTTCACTTCACCACATTTGCCTAAGATGACAGGGGTTTTTTTGTTTTGTTTTGATGAAGAAACATTTCATACTTTCTAGCAGCTCGGTCCACTCACAGGAAAGGGGAACCAACATCGTGAGCATGTGTTAACTTCCTGCCATGGTCCAGTGCAGTGGGCTTCCTCGATGTCACCTGATAGTTTTACACGCAATCCTGCCTGCATCCAGGTTTCAGGTGAAGAAACTGAGTCTCAGAAAGCCTGTAACACTCGAAAGTCACTTAACTGGTAGGCACCTGTGCTGAGACGAAATCTAAGTATATGGATACAAACTGCACAGTGACCCCAAATCCTGTACCTCCTACCTATCCCTTCTAAGCTCCCTAAAAAATAAACTCCTGAAACCAACCAACACTCCATGATTCCCTTTCCCTAATCTGCTCCTCCTCACCCTCCAGCCCAGTGAGAAGCTACCTTGTCTATTTTGGGGCCCTGTCAGCTCTTCCTCAGCCATTTTTCTCTATCCCAAGATCGAAGATAAATCACATAGGGATCCCAAAAGGGTAACAAGGCCTAGCAGACACTAAAAATCCCCAGCAAAACCCCCCATTGTCAAATCTGATTTTATTCCTCTCCACAATCCATCTGGACTGCGGCTTCAGAGCAAAATACTTTCATGGCATTTCCAAGCTTCCAAGATTTGTATCTGCATTGGACAGTTGTGGAAACAAAATGCAAGGACAACTACAAGACTTCCTGCCCTCCATAGCCCAGCTTCTAGAGGTGTCAGAGAACGCATGGAAACCAAATGCCCCCTGAGCTCCCATCATCAAGACTTTAAAATTGCTGATTCGGGGCAACATTTCCTGGAGAGCCTGATAAGAGATCCTTGTCTACTCGGTGTCCCACAGTGTAGAAGCCCAGCAGCTGTAACAGGAAAGTAAGCTACGTTACTTGTATTTCGTTTCCGTGTCCCCAAACTGAACAATCTAATACAACCTTGCCTGTTCACCCTGTTCGCAATTCGTGGAAATGTGGAAACAGGAGAATGTATGTCAAGTGTGCTGGTTTGAAAGCTGGCGAATACCACTAGAGGTGATGTTTATGTCATTAGTGTGAAAATTATGCAGGACTCGGGAAGGCCAAATGACATCAACATGATCACACAATGGAAAGGGGTGAGAATAAATGCATAATAGCCCTGACTCCCTCAGCAATGCTGGGCCAAGTTCGGCGCAGAAATGGGGACACTGATTTGAGATCAGTCCCATCACTCTCTCCAGCTGACCCTCCCTGGACCTTTGTCCCAGGGCTTCTCAGGCTTCTCAGCAGTGTGGGTGTCCTGCCCCAGCCAGAGCTGAAATCCCAGAGCCAGTGAAAGAGGAGCCAGTGTCATGGGGCTTCTGGTTTCAGGATATACTGGAAAGGTGAGAAGGAAGCTTGTCTTCCCCTGGATCTGGGCCAGGGCTGGGTGGCAGGGCCTCCCCCGCCACCCGCCACCCTGCCATCCCAGGAGCTAGGACGTTCCCCAGGTGCCTGGGCATCCCCAGGTCAGTAGGGCCACCAACACATTTCCCAAGGCACTCACTCCAGTCGGAAAATAAATTGTTCAGCCCTTCGTGTGGACCAGAAGCTTTATCAGTGCAGTCTGTACCTTCCTGAGGGCCCCTTTGCAGAAAAAGAATTAAAGCCCCAGGTACTGGCTTCTTGGCGGGCTTGATGAAAAGACCTCCGTGTCTTGAGCTACGTGGGCTCAGCCTTCACACTTCGGGCACACTTCTCACTGACACTGCCCCACCTCCCGGCTTCGGACCTGTATCAAATGCCACCTGCTTTTGAGGCCAGTTTCAGACCTTATCCTCCAATGGGAGATGTGTCTCGATCCCTTTCCCCGTCAGGGATAATTTACTGCTTTCTCAGGACTCTCAGTGTCTGAGGGACAAGTGAGGACTCTGGGCTGAAGGGACGTGAACAATTCAATAAACACAGAGGTGACTCACTTGGCTGCTGTGTGTCTCCTAATGGTGCACAGCTGTTTGCTTCTCCAGAGACTTGCTCTCAAGAGCCAAGTACTGTCTCTCTGGGAAGTTTCAACTCTCTTCCCAATCCTAGCCTCCATCCTCTCCTGCTATGGGCTGGGATCAAGTGACACAGACAAGCAGAGGAGCATGCCTCTGCCCTCCAGAAGGACTGTCTCTGTGGTGGGTTTTAGCTTTCAGAGGGTCAGTCCCACCTCTGCTTTTTCCCCAGGACCCAGACTCTGGCTGGCTTGCCCTGAGACCATAATTGAGGACAAATGACCTAGACTTTGGTTTTACCGCTGAGAGTCCTACATTCCAAAATAATCCTCAGTTTGGTGCCAGTAGGGCCTAGTCTAGGTTATCAGATTTTGTACCAAGTACAAGATGCCCAGTTAAATTTGCATTTCAGGTACACAAAGTTTGCATTTTTAGTATGCTTGCACCCCTGAGCACTTGGAACATACTTATAGTTTTTAAAAAATACTCCTTGTTTACCTGAAGTGTAAATTTGTCTTCACATCCTGTATCTTATCCAGTAGCCCACATCTGGACCACATCTGTCCCTTTCTCTGTCCCTATCCTGTTCCTTCATCTCCTCGTCTTCCTTGCAGATTTCTCCTGCTCTCTCTCTCTCTCTCTCTGTCTCTCTTTCCCTCTTTCTGTCTCCCTCTCCCCTACACACACACACACACACACACACACACAACACACATACACACACCCAAGTCCCCGTCTCAGGTTCTACATCTGGGGAACGGAACCTGTGATCCCCCTTAATCCTTCACTTCTCCTGGTTCCACAGAACATCTCTCTCTGGCAAAGTCTCTTGACCTGGATAGACAAAGCCAAGGCTAGAGAAACCACTGACTTTGGATAACATCAGTGCAGAACTGAATTCTTGGAAATTAGGAAGGTGAACGTATCAAAAATTCCTGGACCCATGGTCTCCTTTAGGGAGACCCTACCTTCATCTGTCCATGACAGAGTTGGTTGATGGCGTAGAGTCTGAGTCTTGATTTAACATGTCAGAACATGTGTAAATGACCCATCCATGGGTGAAATGACCTATCCATGACTCAGCTTTGGTGTTTTCACAATCCTGACATTCTTACGCAATTCGAACAATACTGAATCTGCTGTTTGGCACAAGATAGTGCTCGCTAAACTGTTGCTATTAGTAGTGCTTGTTATATCCAAGTGTAGCAAATAACATCTGATTCTCTTGATAACATAGGGTTGATTGTGAAGACCATGTCCTACAGGGCACTCAACTCAAATGGGTTCAGCACAAGACCCTAATGATGGGGTGAGTTGCCTCATACTGTAGTTATCTGTCACTCACAAGGAAGAAGAAGCAAGGGAAGACATTTATCCATCTGCCAGTAGCAGATAACTTCCAGCCATCATCTCTTGGATCAGATACTGGGATGTTGTAAAAGAGGTTAGGTGACAGCTTGGGACATGCCAGTCTCTAAGAGGTAATTCCTAGACCTGAGATCTATGAGTCTTTGGAAACAGTGACATCCCACATTTATATGCCTGGTGGCCACTCTGGTGCCAGAGCTTGTCAAATGATTCCAGAACAATGTCACAAAGCTTCACTCCCATACTTTTCACAGCCATACATACTTCTCAGACCAATGAGATGGGCACTTAAAGTCTTCCTGGCCCTTGAGTCCTCCAACACAGATAGAATGAAACCACGCCCCTCTCCCCTTCCTTGTCACATGTGCTTTCCCTCCTTTTGGTGGCTCAGCTGAGCTGCAGACCAAGGCTGGAGTGTACTCAGTTGTGTCACGGAAGGAACCGACTTGCTGTTTCCTCTCCCACAACTGTCGAAAGTGTGCCCAGGAGCCCTCATTTCACATAAGACGTGATTGCAGTGTCTTTGCCCACAATCAAAAAGCCACATAGTTGGAAGAGACTGGGATGCCTCCTGCAAACCTTACAGACCCACATGTCTGCCTAAGCCAGTCACAAACCTCCCCCAGGGAGAGCACACTTGTGGCTGATTTTCTCAGACATTAGAAGACACTCCTCGTCTTTCTGTGACTTTTTCCCATCAGTTCTGGTTTTCTCAGTGATGGCACACAAGGGGCCAGTCATGTTGGAAGGCAGGAGCAAAGGGGTGCAGGAAGGCTGTGGGGATGAAGCAAGAGGTACATCCACAGGTGGTGAGCAGCTTCAGAGAGAAAACTGTCAGGGGTGTGCACAGTTTAAAAGGAACCTGAAGAATGAATGCTTTTAAAATTTCTGATTTGAGTTTCTCCTGAGCTTTCTGAAAAGCCTGTCCATCCCAAATGAAGTGTTCTCTGAGAACTGCAGAGTGCCAGGACACTGCGTTACGCACTGTGCTGATCAGAGGGAGGTGATCAGGGAGGGAGGGAACAAAAACTGGGGCACAGGATCAGTGGAAAGGACTGGGTCTTTTTTACTAGAAGAATGGGTTTGGATGTGAAAGTAGACACCTCTGAAGATCTTTCTTAGGGAAAGAAGATTGAACCCATTCCAAATGGAACCAGGAATTAGACTCAGGATAAATGGTAGTATCAGAACATCAGAGTAGTCAAAAATGTCCTATTCAACAGAGCTATCTCACTTTGGTAGGGCAGTGAGAGGTCCCTGTCACTAAACATGTCCAAGCTACTGATTAGAATCAAACACCAGCTGGAAGTTAGACTTCATGTCTTTTTTATTGCAGAGAATTCATGAGTTTTCCTTCATTACCACCACCTCCAAGCTCCAACAGACAGACAGACAGACACACACACACACACACACACACACACACACACGCACACACACGCACACAGCCACTGAAGGCCAAGGGCAGTGCACCCAGGTAGGGTATGCGTCTCTTGCTTGGCTTAGCTTTGGTTGCCCAGCAATTTTCTCATCACTGACTTGGTTGTCAGCAAGAAAGAAAAGCCTTCCCTCTCTCCTTGGGAGGAACAGAGCAGATTGCCTGGATCTGCTCATACTGCCCTGGCTCTGGTCTCCGCACCAAACGTGTTCCTTCTGCGCAGTCTGTTCCCGTTTTGACAATGCAGAGGGAAGAAGAGCTGGAGAACGTGCCACAGCCAAGAGTAGGGGAGAGGCTGGGTGGGGCCTCTCCTGGGACAGGATGGCTCCCGTTTGCATTCAAGAGGGCCTGAAAGCAGAAAGTTGGGCTGGGTCAGCACCTATCTTCAAGCTTCTTTCAACCAGGAACTGCTACCTACAGCAGTCACTCAGCCTTTCCCCAGGGCAGAGCCTGAAAGGGTCTCGGGAAGAACTTCTAGCCCAGCGTGCTGGAGATTAAAATAATAAGTTAATTATTCGCTGCCTGAGAAATGAGATTATGCTCTGATGTTTGAGGATATACTAGACCCTCTGCTTTCTTAAAATTCAGAAAATGTTTTTGACTAAAGGATCACGCACAAGATTTTTGACTAGTTCATCGTATATCACGTGACCAGCCAACAGCAAGTGGGGTACCACTCAGCAGGGACTTAGTGACCATCCACTTTGTGTGGGGCTGTGTAATCAGATTCTAGTTGCAAAGGTGGGAAAGATCTAGAACTTGCCTTTAAGAAGTGTATAGTCCAATGGGAGACCATCAGAAACAACAAATTAAAAACTAGGGCTTCCGCAGGATGCTGTGAGCACCATAACTACCTGGGAGCATCATTGGTGGCTTTCTCAAGGCAAGGATGTGTGAGATGAGACAAGTTTTCAAGGATTTCATGAAGCAGCAAATATCAGAAGTCAGGGATGGATGCTCTCTATAGTCGAAGGTACCTGGGGGAAATGTGGGAAAGCTCTGCTTGCTAAGGAACCCTGCGTACTTTGTTGGCCACAGTTACCAGCAGGCAGAGATATGAACAAGATGAGTCTAAAGGAATGGTTTTAACCGGGACCTATTTTGTTTCCTGGGGCCACTTGGTTGTCCGGAAGGCAGGCACAGCAGAGCCATTGGCATCTAGCAAATGGGAAGAAGCTGGAGATGCTGCTAAGCATCTCCACTGCTCAGGACAGGCGCCACAGAAAGGATGCTCTGGGCCGCAGAGTCACAGAGCCGAGCAGGAACCCTGAGCACTGTAGAATGTTCAGCAGGGGAAGCATCCCAGGCCTCCACCCATCAGAGAAGACAGAAGAATGGAAGTCTGCTGTCTGAGGACCACACAGCAAGGGCGTGCAGTAAGAAAGCCAGGTACTGCAGGGTAGCAGGCCTGCCTGAGGCTCCCTCCCCTGTGCTCAGCCAGCCTCAGCGTTACTTCAGCACACATTTGACAGGCTTACATCACCTACCTCCCTCCAAATTGTCAGTACACATACTGCAAAAATTCAAGGGGCCTCAAAAGGAAAGAAAAACTGGAAGGGGGAAAGGAGAAAAGGAAGAAGGGAAAAGATCGTATGCATATAGGCACACACACCCTCACACACACCCTCACACACACACACACACACACACATACACACACACGAAATAGGCTACTATACTACTAATCTCTGTTAGTTCATCAGAAAGAACAGTTGTGTTTGATTATCTGATCATTTTTTATGTCTAAATCTTGTAACCTGAACAGCTACTTCTAGGATAATAATATGTAATACATTAACTAGCGTTAATTTCTTTTTTAAAAAATTCTGTATCATTTCTATCCTTTTCTCTGTTTTGCTATTTAAAATAAATTTTAAAAATTTGAGGGGCTTCATCTAACAGTACCCACTGATGGGCCATGTTCATCCCTCATCTTGTTTTACTCATTGTAAAAAGAGCAAAATGAAGCTCAGTGGCATTCCGCAATCTGGGAATTATTTATTTATAACATGAGCTGGGTTTCAAGTGATCCAAGGACCCATTCATTTGGACACAGAAGATGCTGGGAATATCTACATCCTGCAGTCCTGAAAAGCAGGACTCGTTTCTGGCTCTCTGGATTCAAATCTGTGGAGCCTAGGGAGCAGGAACATCTCCTTGGCTTCCCTCTGACCTGAGTTGTGACACTCACATACCCTGCTGACCACAGGAGACCTCTTGCTCCCAGAGGACAGCTGCTCAGCTCATGTTCCCTGGCCAGGAGGTGCTCCTGACCCTGTGATCCAGCCCTGCTTCCAAAGTGGCAGATGGGCACAAGTGCCTGTCGCAGAGGTGCTCCCCCTTTGGCCAGGTGTGTCTGACCATTAATCACCTCGTGCAGGACAGCACCAGTCAGCTGAGGGGTGGGCTCCTTCCAAGTAGAACCCCCAAATCTGCTGATCTGTGATATCACTGTCCTCAGGGGCAGCATGGATAAACCATGCCAGGTCACTCAGGCTGAAACAGTCTCATAATCCACAGGGTTGTTCTATCAGCTTACTCAAGGATTGTTTGTCTGTGGCTGAGAAGGTTATAATATGACAGTCTTCTGCCTCAGTGGCTCATTGGAGGCTGATGTCCTGTATTCCCAAAGCCATCTCAGACTCCTCAGTTATTCAGGAAAAAGACAGCACCTGCTCTCTTCTTTATGTCTAGCAAGCCATTAATCATGAGCTCAAAGAAAACAATAAAAAGCAATGCATCTTCATCAAATAATAAAACCCTACCTCGTATCAGGTCTACCTGCACTGTTCCAGGGCAGCCCAGAGATTTGCCCCTCTCCCCATCACACCTCTTTCTGGTCCTTTGAGTAGTTCCCAGAGCACTGCCTCTCTGTGGCTCCTCCTCCCATCAGCGTGGCCCACCAGCTCCCTCCTGCCACCATGGCTCCATCACAGTCCCCTAATACAGCACTGCTCCCTTTCCAGCAGGGTCCAGCCATGCTGCTAAGGTGGAGAGCCCCTGAGTCTTGGCTGAAGAGTGGAGACAATAAGAGAAAAACAAGAGCAACTGGAAGGGGAATGTGACATCACATGGCAGGGAAGAGATGATGGTGGCTGGATGTGAGCTTACAGTATAAGGCAAAGGAGAGGAGAAAACTGGGCGTGCTGGAAAGATGGCCAGAGAGGGCTCAAGTACCAGGAGGTGGAAGAGGTGGAAAGGGGTCCTTTCCTGACTTGGGACCTTTAAAAGGGGGCTACATGAACTTGGCTCTGTCCCGTGGCTCTGGTCCTGGAGACTGCAGGATGGTGGCACTTGTTTCTCCACAGACCAAGCATGTGTATTTCCCAGGGGAGTGCTGTTGGGGACCCTGGCACCCTCTTGCTTTGTGCTGCTGACAGCACGATTCTCCTCTGCTCAGTGGGTCACGGGCTCAGAGCACAGTAGGTCCCAGGATGGAGGCCCTGCAGCAAGCCATGGGACATGGTGACAGTGAAGTAACAGTGTCAAGTGCCTGTCTGTGTGATGGCGTTTCTAAAAATACTCCTGGTGCTGCTGCTCCCAGGGCACCAGCCCAGCCCTCGTGAGTGCCAGGCAAGTAAAACCTGCTTTCTCTGCTGTGCTCAGCCCTCTGAGGCTCAGATCATCACCTATTCTCATGCTGACTGTCCCACAAGCCACCTGCCTGCTGTCTCTTCTCCAGTGATAGGCCATCAGGTGGTTGCTGAAAAACACAGCACCTGTTAGGAGACCATCCCACCCCAAAGCCTACTCATTCCGCATCCAATTACTCAGCATATACCCCGTGTGCATCTTAGGGCCATCTTTTAGGGCCTTGGTTAGGCCAGGGCTGTGGAAGATGTTGCAAAATGAGCAAAGTCAGACACAAAAGTACATGCTTATAAGTGTATAAATACATTTATGTAGTATTCAAGAATAAGAAAACCTAACACATAATGATGGAAGTCAGAATACTAATTACTTCTTGGACATGGAATATAGCTGGTGAATAAAAGAGGAGATGACATGTTTTCAGGACCTGGAAATGTTTCATGTCTTGGTCTTGGTGCTGGCCTCAAGGCTGTAATAATACATAAAAATGTACTAAGCAGTACAGTATTAAAAGTTGTATCTTTTACTGTATAGAAAGATATTATTTATGCTGCAATCACATTTTAAAATTTATGTAAGTATGATTCTGATTTTATTTTTTAACACTGTGTATGCACCCATGACTCAAGAATGGGTGAGAAAACTGTGTATCAACATTTTAACATATCTCTGTTGGTGAGCTTATGGTGAAATTTTAATTTTCTTCTTGATACTTTTCTGGGTTTCTCAATTATTCTACACTGAATATATCTTGCTTATATAATGAGATTAAATATGCTAAATGTTATTTTTAAATATTTTAAAAGTGAGAGCCCTTGCGGTGAAATATTGGCCAAGCACGAGGCCAGTGGCTGTCTGCCCAGAGGGACAGATCTTGCTCATGAGATTTTGTCCTCTTCTGCAGCAAGGACACCAGCTCAGGAGTCCTCTCCAGGTCTGTGGGATTTCAGGACAGCTAAATAAAGCTCTTGGCCCACTGCAGGCTGCGAGGTGGGGGTGCTAGAGGAACCCTCGGGCTTTCCTTTCATTCCAGAGGGACAAGGTTCCCGGGTTGCTCGTGGGCCTGCCAAGCCCTTCGTCCCAGCCACCGAACCTGCCTGACTCAGAGCCTGCTGTAGTGCCAATCCCGTGCGACCCCCAGCCCTAGCCTGCCTGGAGGCCTCTTCCGTGGAGGCAGGATCATTTTAGGGTCTTCTATCACGTCCTTTCTATAAGAAGCACAAGTCAGTTTGGGGCCACAAGGAAGGGCAGTAAGCTCATGGTGGGGAGAGGAAGAAAGCAAGAGAAAACCAAACCGTGGAAGCTAAGGAATCAAGGAATTGCTCTTGGTCTTGGGGAATAGAGTACTTGTGAGACTCTGGAGGAGCTGGGGGTAAGCTCAGCAGCATAAGTGCCTACCTTGTAACCGCATGTTCATGAGTTTGATCCCTGGTACCGATTAAAAAAAAAACAAGATTGAGCCTGTGGAAAAGGGTAGGTTTGGAGTTCTGTTTTCATGACATTTGGGGAGAAGGAGACTGGTTTTGTTTCTGGTTTCTGCCACCCCAATAGGAGCTTTTGGACCCCTATACCAGTCTTAATGTTTCTCTCTCTCTCTCTCTCTCTCTCTCTCTCTCTCTCTCTCTCTCTGTCTCTCTCAGGTACCACAGCTTGGGATACATTTTTTGTGTATGTTCTCTCACCCCTAACCCTAATTTCTGCATTGGCAAAGCCAGTATGGTCATGTGATAAGTATCAGCTTGCAATTTGCCAGTATATTGTATGCTACCAGCCTAGATCCTAAAATCACTCCTCATTTCCCTCCTATCCCTTCTCCCCTCCTTTCTCCCTTTCCAGCATCCAACACAAAGGCTCCCACAGAGAAGTCATGTGATGGCTTCTCATAGTCAGCCAGTGGCCAACTCTGCCCTATGACACTCACAGCCTCCAGCAGTCACATGATCTCCAGCTGCCACCACCTGCCTTCTATTCCCAGCCTTGTACCATCTCCCTGGCAGGCTTCTTGAGCTGATTTGTCACTCTGGGCTACAGCTTGGCAGACAATGAGACTGAAGGACAGCAGATCCAGGGCCAAAAGGCTTGGACAGTTCTAGTACCAGCTGACCTCCAAGTGGGAACCCATCCACGAGTCTCCTAGGCACTATGTGGTGTGCCTCAAGGGGTATTAGGTGTCTCACTGGCCTGATGCAAAGTGGGATGAAGTTGTTGGCAACAGGTTCCCCAGAGTGAGCTCCAGTTAGTGACCCCATGAGCAGGAAGCGTGAGTCCCAGGTGCTGACTGAGGCTATGCAAGGCGCCAAGGGCACCAGCCAGTGTGCTTCATGGAAAAGCTGGAAGCCAGGTGTTGCCAGACCACAAAAAGAGAGAAAGCAAATACAGAAGGGCCCTCCATATGTGCACTCAAAATCAAAAACAAAAAAATACCACACAAACAACACTAGTACCGCGGTGGTTCTCAATCAGGAGCTATTTTACCTGTTCTGTCATGCAGGGAACACTTGTCATTGCTTGGCAACATTTTTAGTTGTCAAAGTTAGGGAGGGCAGAGCATCCTGCAGTGCACAGGAAGCCCGTAGGAAAGGACTTCAGGCCCTACCTGGAATGTTCTCCCCACTTCTGGTTGGCATTCTTCCATCTTTTTTCAGTCCAGCTGTGACACTTCCTCTTCCAACAAGCTTTCTCTCCATGAAACTCTGTATCCCTCATCCATGGCATAGCACTTAGTTCCTCTGTCACAGAACATGGCACAGTTTGGGTGCTGGAATGGTTGGCTTGTGTGCTGTGTCTGCTCCCACCCAGTAGGTTCCCACGGTATTTGAGTCTGTCTCCCCACTGCTTCTGGTGACCTTGAACAATAGGAGCCACGCCTGATCTCTTTCCAATTATAGAATGAGTAGGCAGATCCAGTTCTCAATCTATAGCAGAAGATATTTGGGGAGCTGAAGGAAATACAGAGAGAAAGGTCAGGAAGTCAACTGACTCTTCAAAAGATGGCAACAGGGACAAGAAAGAGTCTCCAGGTAAGAAGTCTGAGATGACATCAAAAGGGACATGGCCTACCCATTCCAGACAAGGCCCTGTGGACTCACAGCACACCCCAGAGGGTAAGTGTCACCAAGTGCGTGTAGTGCTTGTTACGCAGAAGGGGTCATCTAGTCCTTTACTGTAAGCAAAATCACTTGCTTTTTCTCAAATCAACCTCCTGCAGCAGGTGGGGGGGCAAGAAAAATTCCCATTTTACAGGTAAGTGAGTGGAAGCTCAAGGAAATAAAGGAATTGCCCCCAAATTTCCAAGTACTGCATCTAGCACCTTCCTTCTTTGGGCTATGCCATTTAGAATCAGTCATCTTTTTCACCCTGCTTTGGGGTCACCGCAGGACTTGCTGACCTGCTTCCCATTGCTATGGGTCAATTTGAATTTTCTTACACATTCAGGGTGCACTCATTTTTGCCTGGCTTCTTTTACTCAGGGTAATTATTTTGAGGCTCAGATATGTTGTAGCATATATCAAAATGCATTGCTTGGTATTACTGAATAACATCCCAGAGGGTGACTCTGTAACAACTGGTTTATTCACTCATCTGCTGATCCACATTGGTCCTCTTTCCAGTTTGGAGCCATTACAAATGCCAACATTTGTGTAGACATAGCTTTTGACTTTTCTTGGGTAAATACCTAAGAGGGATGGTTGGATGAATTTATATAAAATATTTTAAGAATGAATTTATATGAAGTATTTTAAGAAACTATCACACTTTTATCCAGAGTAACTGACCATGTCCCTCTCACATCAGCAGTATGTGAGAGTTCTATGCTACATCTTTACCACTGCTAAATATGATCAGTTATTGACTTTAGTCCTTTTACTAGGTGTGTGG